TTATCGTCGACCAACATCTCCAAGTCTATCGAGTGCACCAAAGTTCTTTAGGATGTGATTGACCATTTCAGCATTATTCCTCTTGCTAACACTGTACTCGCCGTCATGCTTCAACGAAACGACTGGCTGCAATCACTCCGACTTGATACTAATAAGAACAGAATTTGATGTTTTGAATGTGCCAAGCTTATGTTCACAACACAGTAATCAATTGAGAAAAGGATAAAGAACACTTTGCGAAAATCACAATCGAACATTCATCAAACAGTTTTACAAACATCTGTTTGACTTTAACAACGCAACATCGATCCATCTCCTCATACCCAAGTCCATCTTTCTCTAGCCAACACCTAATGTTTTATGTCATCAGTGATTTTCACACAGCTAAGAATTTCTACTGCACAAGCAATTCCCATTCAAAACGATAAATGTAAATACATATACGAACATATGGAAATCACTTTATTAAAGATTATCTATCTTATCTCTTTGAACCTCATATCATCATGCATTTCGAGCTTGTCCTTTCCTTCACATTCTTGATTCTCACATTCCCATTCTTCACTTCTTTCAGAAACTAGATAGAATGCCCTATATTTCCGTGATTTTCCTATCCAGAGCAATTCTCTCCCTCTAAATAGAATCCATGCGTGTTACAAAAAATTTGAACAACACCCTCGAGTGAACGCATGCATGGACTTCAGCCTAAGCCCAAGTCCACGTCTAAACTCAAACCGGCCTATTTCCACTGCTTCTACATTAGCTGATACCTATTTGCAATTCGCCATTTCACACAACTTGACTCAACATTCCTTCTTGAAGCTGAATTACGTGCTTTTACCAACAGTTCTTCCTCCTAATGAGATGACGTTCCACTTACCTGTCAATGGCCTTGCTTTTGCTACATTATGCGATAAATCAAATTCATAGCACAGAGAGCTATTAAGGTGCTCCTACCCAAATTCCACACCAAACAGTTTCTAAGCGGTAGACAGCACTGAAGTGAGACACTCAGAACCTCCAAAGGTACAGATGGAATGGGCAGCCGATCGATTTTTCCAGTCATCATTGACCGAATACCCTATTGATAGAAACCGACAAGGCAAATTTTGAGTGGCTTTGATGGCCACCAATGCTTGGCTTGATTTGGTGGCCATCAATTCGATCTTCTTTCGGTTTCATCTTTTCAGTCTCGGTCGGTGTTGCAGAAGTTTGATTTTGGTTGCTTTTTAGTCGGTGGCCAAAGATCAGTGTAGGCAAAAATGGACAATAACCACCGAACAGGGTCCTTCTGGCCTTTGTTCGGTAGCCAACGAAATATGATACTCCAAATTGGGGTTTTTTTCCATTGGCTGTCATATATAATTCTCATAATCCTTCAGATCTATCGTAATCACGTAAATACAACCGAACAATTTTCTTCGGCAGAATGATACGTGTGCCCCGAGCTGGATAGAGTGCTCCCAAGTTTCGACTGGCGGCCATCGAAAATCGATTTTCGATGTCCGTTGACCGAAAGTGACTGATCGGTCAGCGGATTCGGAAACTCAGTTTCGGTGGATGCCGACTGAAGCCGACTGACGCTCTAGTGCAGATGGAGTGTGCTCAGAATTCACGTTGTCAATGGTCATTGATAGGGTGTTCGGTCCGTGGCCATTAAAAAAATTTGTTAGTTCGTGACTCTAGTGTGAACAAAGGAAAGCCCGAAACATCACCGAAGCTTTAAACAAAGAAAATGAATTGGAAAAGTTTTCGTAATTCATGCAAAACGTCTAATAAAATTCAGTGCGTCCCTCTAATCTATATGATTGTGATTATTACTGAATGAATTCAAAAGTTACACCATAGGATAAACCAAATGAATGAACGCATTGTTATCCCTTTGAGAGTCTTTGATGATAATACATTCAGAAATGTATAATTTAGTGAATACATCATTTCAGTTTGTAACATTAACGAAATTAAACTCCGCACCATATCGGTCGTCCTGAATGATACGATAACACAACTAATATGTCTTGCCGCTGTTTTGGATAATATAATGAAAGAAAGTTCGGCTATTCAGCAGCCTTCGAAACCTTGAGGATACATAGAACGAATTGAGGAGGTTGTATATGGAGTAGCGGATCAAATTCGACATGTTGTTCGAAAAAAATGCATTCAAAATTGTGCTCGCATTTAAAACTTACTATCATGTTTACATCGTATTGTTTAGATAAGTAACTCTTCCAGCCGAGCTGTTGTTGAAAGGGCCGTGAAATTAATAGATTGTTCAATCCAGGCTGAAATGTGAAATGCTATTGCACATTTTGACTTTTAAGATCTTCGACCACATTGTTGTTTATTTTGAATCTAAGAAGAAGTTTTGATCAGTTATTGAAATTCAGATAGAAATCCGCAGGAAATGACCACCCAATTGTAAGCTAGGTTGGAATCGTTTTATTAGAACAAATAACACAAACATTCGATGAACCAACTGAGAGTCATAACGTTTTTGTCTTTAAGGGTGATATAATATGCCGATAGGACCACTCGTTGTGTGAAGTTGAATCTGTGGCAAAAGGAATTATGGAAAGTTTCACGGAATCCTTGTTAGACGGACGAGTAGTATTTTTCGAGGAACGAGTTATGCGAGATTAAGAGAAAATCGGAAGTGTTTAGGCAACTTGCTGGGGCACATGAATCACACATTACTCAACATTGGATCGGTGTCCACTCCCTAATTTTACACCTTCTATTTGTTCGGTGATACTCATTGAGTGAACAATCCTCTAACCGAGTATGATGGAAAATTGCTTTCGTTTGCCGTAACTTCAGCGATCATCAGAGCAAGCATTGAGATCGTCATAAAAATTCTCATCATCTTCCGCTGCTGATAATGTCCTGAATTTTTGCATTCAATCTTATCTGTATTGCTCTATGTGAATAACGACAAATATTACCATATTAATCTCGCTCATCAGATATGTCTGATGAGCGAGATTAATATTGTAATATTTGTTGTTATTCACATAGACCGAAATCGAACTGAAATGAAATAGCGAACGTTGACTGAGGAATCAAGAGCAACCATTATTGCAGTTTTCGTAATTTTGAATTGGATGAATCTTAGTTTAGGTTCAGCCTCATGCTATGACTCAGACTCATATTAATGTATGATCTCAGTCTTTTAATCGCACATATTTCCAAGCTCCGGGCACAATGCCCAACTCTATTTTCAGCACAATTTTTGACACCTTTCAGGGGAACCCTATTGAACCTATTGGAACATTTGTATTTTGAATGAATATTTAAAGTTTCGTTTGCAATGTCAACAAATGGATACGACCCATAGTCCATTCAGGTAGGTAGTCTCAACAGCAGCGAATGCGTCAAATGTGATCGTTTTATGGGGATGAAATAATTCATTGGTTGAATTCAAGCCAATGATAGAGCATGCAATTGCGTATCGATACATAAATCATGCATTTGCATCTCGAGATTCACCCTATTATCAGCATAATGATCTTTCAATTGCATCCATTCTAGAATGCGATTACCGCATATCAACCAAGCGTCTTCGTTATTTCAAAATAACCCCACACATTCTAATTCACTCATTTCTTGTCAGTGTAAGACACAGATAAACAAATGTACTATACAATTCTTTTGAGTTACGGGAGTATCTCTTCTTATCCTTATTTGAAATTCAGGAGTCATCTTTTCTCTCATGTGTGAAGATAATTAGTTGAAAGATTAATAATTGTTCCATTGAGACCGAAAGTGATACTTCCAATCTGTTGAAAGTTGTTTAACATAGCAGTATATCTATATTCTTAAATAAAAATATTCTCTTCACCAATGTGCTGAACTTTCCAAAAATGATGTTCTTAAAGAAAGTCGTTTTTTACCAATTCATTGAATGAATCTGATAGCACCATATATCTGATAACTGAGGAACTCGAGCTGAGGTTGATACTAGCGAACGTACAGTTTTAGTAGCGATAAACTAGCTATATTACTGTGCAAAAGAAGCACAAAACTGAGAATAGAGGTGAGAAAAGGCTCGATTCTGAGCTCAGTAACGATGTTCATTGACGTAAGAGGAATGACACACAGGCGAATATTTATTAATCAGAAAGCATGAATGATATCAGATACGAAATGGGACGTTCAGAATCAAATGTGAGCATTTGAAAAGAGCGCATCAGCTAGCGATCAACTTACTGCCAAATAGCCATCTCAACCGACAACATCTCGAATATCATCCTATCCAGTATGTGTTTCAGCAAAAGTGTGCAGACAACGACTAATTTGCGTGAATGGATGAAACGAGAATGCTGCGTAAATTTGATACTTTCTAGACACCCCCTACGTTGATTAATGAAACTAATGAACAAATTCATAGACGCTATTAAATAACTCATTACCACATTCTGAGAAAAAAATACTCCGAGTCCGCTAGTTGAGAATCCAGCTTTATTTTCATATTAGATACAATCTTCATGTCTTTTAATACTGTAAATGGAATACTTTTTCATCATTCAAGCATTCATTCACCACTAAAGGAGTACAATTTAATTAGTAGTTATTTTGTTACAGTGCTTCATACGTTCACGTTCGATCACTTCTATTTAGCTCGAATAGATTAATTTTAATCCAATTTTTACAATGGCAAAAAATCTTGAACGAAACTTACATCGTATAGCTGATTGGTTTTTTCGATGTACGCAAATGTATTTTTCGGGAAAAAAGGTTTACTGTCATCTTCCTAGATTAATTTTGTTCGTATTACTTATGCAATATGGTGGGATTGGTCATCACACTTATGAATATCTCAAGATAAGCATTCACCTGAACTGAATATCAATAATCGATGAAAAAGGCAATAAATTGACAATATTTGATCTGGTACTATAATACAGATAACATTCTCATCAAAAATCATCAATAAAAGCTCCTCTTGAGAGATATTGAGGTTGCGACGCGAAATGATTTGCATAAAAACGACTACAATACTATTAACATTGGCCAGCGTCCGAATCAGCATATCGATACAACTGATATTTTTTGTATTGCTCGAAATGTAATTTCCAATCGACAATATATTCATTTTGCCAATGATCTAACTCTTGCTTCCACCGTACCAACTGGTCACCCATATCACCTAAAATATGCGACATTATTATTCGTTTAATTACAAACAAGTAGATGAAAGTATGATGGAACATGACGTATGAAATCAAACTATTAGCTTACTTTGCACTTTCTTCTGTTGTGAAATACAAAGGAATCAACAAATAACGCATTTATGTTGTTCACAGGTGAGGCACTGAGTAATCAAATCAGTGCATATTTAACGAGTCCTCCACGAAAATGAATTCATCACCTAACTCGAAAAAAAGTTTATCTAAACGACAAATCTACCATAAATTCGGATCAAAAATTCAGACACCGTACAACAGTCCTGAACAGAAGTATTTTGTACCATAGCATAGACATTTTGCTATGCCTTAATATGGCCCATCTTATGAAGAAGTATTCAGCAAAAATTATGATACTTTTCAAACCATTTCTGAACTTACTCGCTACTCCTATCCTATGAATGAATCGTAAAATGTTTATGTTTGTTTGTGATATATTATTAAGTACTGTATATATTTTTTTATTTACCTCGATGAAATTTATGTTTGCATTTAGCTAACTTTATTCAAATTGAAGTGCAACCTTGTTTCTCAATATTTCATCGCAGTAATTCTTATTTCGTGAAGGCGGCAAGCCCATCAAATGTGCCAATAAGTAAATGAACAAATAAATTGAAACTGTATTATTCAATAAACTGGTAGAAATCTCTTCCATGGAGGGTTTATCGTAGTGTTGTGCAGGGAGAGAAAAATAAGTCGGGGACGGGGAAAGTCCCCGAAAATGGCAGCCGATCGAAAATGGTCGGGAACAGGGAGTTTTGGGGAGATAACTCAATCTTATCCCCGTCCCCGACTCTCCGAAGATGTAACTTTGGAACTAGAGTCAGCAGGACCTTGAAAACATGAATTTTTGATGGAAAAGCATTGAAGTAAGTGATCTTTAGGCTAGAAATGCGATAACTGCAAAGGCACAATGCAATTCTATTCCCAGTATTTTATTCAATCACATGAGAAAATGGAGTTTCTGAAAATTGCAATTTTTTTAAAGGCAAAAATAGCAAAAAAATAGCATAGCAGATAGAGTTTTTAGAGTTTAGCAAAAAAATAGTTTTCGAAAAAATAGCAAAATAATAGCAAAATTTCATTGACAAAAACAAGAGAGAATATACGCTCTACTCCTGCAGTTTTCTACTACACTCACCTATGCAGACATATTACATGTCACCGTGCAGCTCTCGAAATATTCTTAATCGTGGGAAAGAATTAATTCACGGATTCATGAACTCAAAATTTCGTTGAATTTTGTTGCTCTTGGTTCTCATTAGAAAATGTGATTATCTCCATTAGTCTAAATAGAAATGCATCCAGATGAGCGTGAAATAAACTAATGAAGAGCAGAATAATCAGTTGAATGTTCAATGAAATGCTACACAAAAGTTCATCAAGCTGTTGTTGCTCATGCCATCCGTCTGACTTGCATCAATTTCCCTGACAATTCATCGATGACAGATGGCAAACAACGAGGATGATTGCATATGAATGAGCTGTGAATGATTAAGGCTTGCTTCAAGATGGACCCACTATCAAAATTAATACAAATCGACCTGTTTTATCAAATCCCGAGATTCCATGATTTTTCAAAACTTAAATCCTGAGGTCGGAATTAGAACTGAAACCTTGGGATCACCTGTAAACCCTAGCTGAGACAGGATGGTAGTGGGGCTTTAAAGGTAAACATGCTGGCAAAGACCGAATTTTCAACTTCAAATTGCTCGCAAGGGCCGGGTAGATTAGAATTTTTTTCGGGGAGTTTCGAGGAGTCTCCCTGAAATTTCAGAGAAAGCCGACAATTCTGTAGAAGTCGGGGACGGGGAGAGTCCCCGAAAATGGCCGCCACTCGAAAATGGTTGGAGACGGGGATTCGGGGACGGGGACGGGGACCTCGAATTCGAGGACTCCTCGCACAACACTAGTTTATCGGATAATGGAGTGAGTCAAGTATTGAAATGGTTTCTTCTTTTCGAGAATAATCAGTGAGTGCATATATATTTGATAATGAAAAACGTTTGATGATAATTGCCAGTAATAAATGGCAGAGATATGCAGTATATAGTGCTTTAATCGTTTGTCATTTCTATTGCATCTTGATGAATGCGTTCAGTACCTGACTGCTAATCGAGTCAAATGTATGAACAATGATCGCCGGCTGCCCTCGCCAACAACCAGCAATTTAAATAATCTCTTCGATTGCAAGATGTGTTTAAGAGAGACGAAGAATACTGCCTTCAGTTTTCCAGTGGAAATCATGATAATGTCGAGTGAGATCGAGAAACAAACTGACTACACCAAACACTCTTTCGCTGATATTGAAAGCTCAAGTTCTGACAATGAGTTCACTGGATTCAAAATACGACACCATTTTCTAAGCTTCAACCGAATCAAACATGCCTTTTGCTAATTTTTATTGGGACACTCAAGCTGATGTAGCGTTACGAAAGTCATTTATTTTCATTAGAGTGAAAAGCCAACTGATTTCACTGATTTTGGGCATCTTGCGTAGCATGCTTGAAAATAGCTTAATTAGTCCTCGAACGACTGGAATTTTTTCATGGCATCGGAGAGGAAGTTGACCTTTCAGGCCCAGCTTTATCCATTCCACCAGTACTCGTGATAGGAGATTTTTTAATGTTGCTTTAACACGTGCTGATGCTTGTAATAGTTGTTCGGTAGCTAAGTACGAAAATAAACGAAAACATCATTCCATCACCATGTTTCCGAGTGACAAAATAGCAAAACGACTGACCGTCTAGGGCAAGTTTTGCAACGAAGTACTCGTGAAATCTACACTAGTTTTTGGATCTTGCTGTGTGATTTTCGTTTTATGTGTGCTATGTAGTTATACCTCCTAAAGTATCCTCAGGTGATGAAATTAGTAAATGTTTTAATAATGGTGTGCAAGCACGCATGGAGTCGTTTAAACAGATGAGATGTTTTTTATGCATAACTGAAAGGCTAGTCCTCTTCGTAATCATAAATTTGCATTCAAATGTTAAAGATAACAATTTACATTCAATGTTTCTAAGGATGCTGGTTGGTGGAGACAGGAAGCACTGTTTCCCCAATCAGCTTCACCGTATGTCAAAAATGCATATTCACAACTCATACTGAACCTTCAAATGATGTGTTGTCTGAAACGTTTGCTGACGAATTTGCTATAGATTTTCTCATTATATTTATGATGTTGATTTTATTGTTTTCTGTGTTGCTGCATCCTTGTTTCATCTTTATTGTCCAACTATAACTAAGTTGAGAAAACAAAATCATTTCTCACGGTTTGCACTTTTTGAATAGTATCTTGAAACATCAAATTTTTATTAGCAACTTTCCTGTCTGCTACTTTATTATGCTCTCACTGATCTTCACTGTCGTTTTCCTCTTTTAAACTACTTTGCAGTTCCGTATAAAAGAACGATAATAAAATTTTGCTTTACAGTTCATGCTACAATGTCCTCTGGTTTGCATTTGCTGATTGCACAGCTCGTACTACCTAATTCATTATTCTGATGTATCTCTTGACACATTAGCAAGTTGGAATTCCATTAGAGTGACAAGTATTATCGTTTCACAGGCTTGAAAACGTCTTAATACCGACGCAATTGTCGGGCCAGAGAAGTCCGGTTCGTTACCGATGCTATAAAATGCTCAGCGTAGCGCGCACGATCCGGAAAGAAATTTTTTTCTTTTTCCAGTTGAGGTCAGGCAAGTGAACAAAGTCACAAAGGTTCGGATCTGTAACTACAATATTGGATTACTGAAAGTTGGCACGGGTCTCTTATACCACATTGTTGTAGGAGGACTAAACGCGAGCGAGCACTGACTTCGTAATTGCAATATTAAGATTTGACTGCAATCCGATGTAGCTTTGCGGCTAGGTTCAACAGTAGCAGGATGTTTCTGAATGAGGGATAGTAGCGCGTCTTGAGAAAACTTCATATGTATCGATAGAGTGACGACATTAAAGAGCTGCTCTCTAACCGTTTGCGATTTTGAACAATGAGTGATGTACTGAATTGAACCAACTAGCAGAAAGGTGTATTATAAAAAAAGTTGTCATTAAAAATAACATCCCACCTAAAGCAGCGATGAGGTTCGGTAAATAATTCTTCCAAAATGCGCACTGTTTCCGTCTTGGCCCAGTACCGATCCGTGCTGCACCATTGTTGTAATCAGATTCAACCGTAAGATTCATATATTCCATTTTTGCTTGTGTATATTTTGGCCACACATCCGGCGTGTATGTTCCGTCTGGATTGATGTTCGGATTGCTGAATAAAAAATGATTTTTGCCAATTTCTCAGAAGTTTAATACATCCGAAATGTCATCTGAATAAAAATCGAGTGAATGAGTGATGCTGTAGAAAAGATGTTGTGGTGCTGATTGCACATAAACTAGCGGGCTGTAAAAGTCGTTAAAACTTATGATCTCTCGAAAATTCACACTCCCACTAACCCAGTTCTCGCGAAATTTGCCCAGTAACGCATGAAACGACTGCTGAGCTCTTGTTCCTCTCGAGTGTAATGATATTTCTTGGTGTTTAACGGTTCACCAAATAAGAAATTAATTTCATATCCATGTAGTACACCCATCCACGCAGGCCACATTTGTTGGGTTGCACGATGTGTGAAGTAATAATAGTAGGTATCACCTGAAAGGAAACACATGCTCTCATATCACCAATGAATGTAAAGTGCAATGAACATTTCAATTCTCAGCGAGTAGTTTATTTACTTTTATAGGAAGCATGACTCTTGAATGCTGACATTAACTTGTAAGAAAGTGTAGCTACCCACCTCCATGCATGCTATTAGCAAGTGCCATTTCATTAACACTGCACGTGAATTGTAAATCACCAAGCATTTTATCAAGTGCATTTAACCAATCACTTGGTGTTACTGGTAAATCACCAGGTTCGTATTCATGAACGATTGCGGAGAGTATCACCGAAGATTTGATCATATGTCTAGGCAGCAGATTTGTCACACTTCTCAGCCATACGTCACGACTCTTTACAAAATCCTTCTTCGTAAAGAAATCCTTCGGTGGGAAGACGTCCTGAAAGAACGCTCAACTAGTCTGATCGATACCTTCATGATCGCCTCTACTTCGTGTCATTAATGAAGTACGTTGACTGCTCAAATTTGCAATGTGCATATATTTTTTGGCTTACCAAAAATCTTCGAACCAAGAACAATATCATTCGAGCTGATCAAACTCATTCAACATCACAAACTAATCTCTACGCTATCACCTAAGCCAACCAGTTTTTTAGTGGTGTTTGCCTCAAAAGTTAAGAAATGATTAAGCCAATTAACGTACAGCAAGTTGGTAAACGATGAAGTAGATTGATTCATCGAGATTTGAACCAGCTAGTAATGGTGCTCTCTTGAAACCACCTTGCTTTAATGAACTACTCGGCTGTTCAATCAAAAAGTCACCATCGATGACCGGTACCCAAGGAAAGTCTACAAATTCCATTACAGGTGCCCACTCTGAGTCACGAAGCAATTCGGCTGGTGCATCGAGCAAACACCGCAAAACCTGCGATATTTTTTGATTCCCATCTCACTGTGATACTGTAGACGATGAAGTTTTCATCAATAGGTATTCATAACATTAATTCAAATTTTACATTCACACATTTGATTTTATATATTTCACATTATCTATTTATGTATTGTCATGAAGATGTATTTATCACTCATTAACTGATTATACTACAGCCAATTTGATAACTCTTTTTTTGCGTTCGCTTGGCCTAAGGACAACCGGCGCAATATTTTTTCCTTCAATAATTTGTGATCAGTGAAAGGATCAAGAACAAACTGTGTACCTAGCGTTCATCATCGAGTAATTGACAGCTCACATCGTAATCGCTTTCAGAGGAAATAACTTGGGGGACAGGGAGCGGGTTGTGCGCGAAACGAAACAGGATCGCTTGCTTGTTTTATCAGTTTTAAATACACTTTGGATATTTCTGTGCTTGAAAATTTTTCGCACTTTCAGTATTTACTATGGTTGGATCGGGACCTCTGAGCATTCCGAAATCTCCTCGACCCTACCCTTTACCCTCCGCGACCCCAAGCCTGATTTCACTCATACCTATCTCTATTACATAGTGAATATACAAACACACTGCAGTGGAATATTTGATGTCGGAGACTTTTCAATACAAGCAGCAATCAATCGATATTTAAATATATTTTCAAGAAGTGCCTCACGCAACAGGGAGCAATGGATCAATGAGGAAACAAATCTCCATCACAAGCAACTAAACAAGTGTCAAGTGCTGCTGCATCACGAAAACGTAAATTTCCTCGTTTCAATTTATAATTCCAAAGCTTTCTGATTATGAATTCATTTAACTTTTGCCTAAGTCTACAGCTATCTGTCTGATTTCCATTAGACTGTTAAGCCAGATGTCGCTTTCGCTAACTATTCGTTCTACCGTATTTTCATTAAACTGAATGTCCTTAGACCAAATGACTTTAGAGCTACTGTCTGGCCAGAGTTTATACTATGGTTTGAACAACCCAGCTTTCAATCCCACCAACCTAGTAGATTTTGATATTGTTTTTGATTCAAGATGAGAATAATAAAAAACCAGATATCACAAAAGAAAGAATGGAAATTTCGGCGCTACCGTTTCAGCACCAACCGTTTCGGCGCTAGCTGTTTTGATACACCTAACGAACATGGAATTGAAATTTCGTATGTACGTATCATAACAAAAGTTTGCTCTAATTGATCGCTTGCGATCTAATTGAAATAAGAAATTTAATAAATTTTATTATTCGTTCTATCAATAAATGGCTGACGCCGAAACGGACAGCGGCGGCGCTGAACGATTGAAACAAGAACGAGACGATGTGTTCCATTCATATGACTTATAAAGACACACTGTCATTTATAACCCTTGCATCATTAAAAAGAAACGTGACTGTCATAACAAAGCATACCTTATCTAAATCCCAGTGTTGTGGATCTTTTGACATATTGCCGCACCGCATATCCTCATACAGCGCCACTGACCTGGCGATAGCCACTTGCCTAAATTGCATCTATTAAGATACCGCTCGACATTCTAACTTCAACTGGCATTCTTAGTTCACTCTCGATCGCTGTGCAGTCAACAGAAAATGATAACTTCAGAGTATACTGCAAATGTTTCAAACATTCATTCAATTTTATTTCTAGTAGACATGGAGTGTGAACGGAAATCGCGTGGATAACAGCTACGATCAAATATTCCACCTCGATTTCATCGCCCAATGCGATGTCGCACTGCCACTTTGAACAATTGCTCTTTGAAAGTATGGTGCACTCTTTGGACTGAGCACATGCATCGATACCGCAGCCGCACCAGCGCTTTCACCGAATAAAGTCACCTGATTCGGATCACCACCAAATAAATCGATATTCTTATGCACCTACAAATAGGGCCTTTTATTTTGCGATTGTTCTCGCGCATTTACTGTTATCAAAATGTGTTCACTATTACAGTCGTTATGACAATCGTCAATCCGAGATATTCTTTTCCTTGTTTATTCCACATCAAATATGGCTGGATATTTCATCAATCAACAAAATTTGATATCGATGGCACGAAGGATTAATCCAATGAAAGAGGTTATTGTTCCAAGAAATATACTGTTACGCTGAATCCCACCAATCAATATGGAATATCCCTCGGAGAAAATATTTTGACAATGTTTCCTGCGAAAGTAATGCTTTTAAGGTATAAGCAATCCTCCTGAGAATGATTCTTAACTTCATCAGTGAGTGTTCTGTGTGCTGAAAATGCGTTATGCGGCTTCATCGTTAATCCAAAAATTCGTTGACAAATGAACACATAGTGTGTCATTATTTCAATAATTCTGTCCGTTATGTCCATTAAATTGAAAACGTTGAATATAACTCTGAACTGAAGAAGCTGAAATTTTGACGGATTCTGCGTCAGGTCCGTGTGAGTTGAATAACGATGTACAATAAAAAGTGGATCTAGAGCCATTTACCCATTTAAGAGAGAGAAGTTGATCCCACAGCCCCATATTTCCAGGTGCCTCTTCCCTGCCCATATAAAGAAATCCAAATACGCTCACACGATAGTTCATCGCTACGAAAATCACGTTCTCTTCACTGAAAATTCAAAAGAAAACATCACATGTGCTTGAATCCCATCTATTACCGAATGCTAAATGAGAATGTTTACGGCTGACTGATCGGTATTGTCAGCGAGTCCACAATCGACTGAAAAGTCTGATTTTGGCTGTGAAATTCCGGTTACAACGGGGAACATTTTGATTCTTACGGAACATGTTATTTTTTATATGCTTATACATAAATCTGTCATGAGGTAGTTGTTAATGGATGAATGAAAGACGATATATGTTTGCACAGAATTTAGAATAAGTGATAATTGAAAGTGAATGATATGTATCACATTTGAATCTCTTCTGAATTTCTAGTGAATAGATCAAGAATTCAGCATATTAACATCAGTTTTTCATTTACATTTTCATGAATAAGTAGTAAGAATTAATGCAGGAACAGACCTTGCAAGAATCTTGCCATCGTAAATATCAAGTGTTACACATCCCGACCAAAATCCTCCACCATACACCCAAACCATGACTGGAAGTTTTTTATTGGGATCGATTTCGCCCGGAACGACGACATTCAAGTAGAGGCAGTCCTCAGATGATGGAACATTACTATTCCACATTGTTGCTCCTTCGAATTCGCCGAAATACGTATCCAAACTCTGCAAAAACAACTGTTACCGTATTGAGCAATTCCTTAAAATTGTTATTCAATCTTCATTGACATCACAAAATTCTGGTTTGTCAATCAGGAAAATTATCAGCAAAATGCACAACTTCATAGAATGTCAGGGAGAATAGAAATGAGTAACACTCCTAAATGTGAGACACCTGTACACATGAGTTTGGCAGTCTGGTTGCGTTCAATGGTGTTCTCCACGGCAATTTTGCCTTCGGTTTCCTGAAGCGTAGTTGTCCTAATGGCGGTTCAGCGAAAGGAATGCCAAGAAACTGAGTGACCTTTTTACCAGTTGCACTGAATGTTTCTTGACCGAATAAAGGGGATCCATCATGCAGTCTCACCAATTGACAATAAATTGGCTGAAACGTGATAATATCACTTCATGCAACCAATTGTTAAAACTATGAGTTTTGCTCATTTGGAGAATATCGTAATATTCGAAATAAAAGTCGCTCATTAAGATGATCGTTTGATGAAACTTTCTGATTGAAATGCATAACCAAAGAGTTCATGTAAAGGTGATAATTGGAACAGCGCTACTGGCTAGCGATCTTATCCGGTTGTTTCTAATCAATCAGTACACATTCGCTTCCCGTCTAGATTACCGTTGTTCGCATAGGTACGAGATAATGAGACTTTTAGGTTGTTTAATGGTAGTAAGTAGCAGCGTTTTGAAATTGGAACTGTAATTGTACTGGTGTTCGTTCTTCAAAGATGAGACGAGAAATGTGATGCACTGAAGAGTATTGACCACATCTCTTTAATTTCATTCCGAAATCAACGCATTGATATGAGAGAAGTTTGCTATGAAAAAGTTGTGTTTCCATCGCAGACACTCGTTCAGTTTCGACGACATCTCACATTGAAGCAATAAAACGAATTGCATTCTGTGGAACGACTACAAGTGAAGCAATAAAAGGAATTCTTAATTAGTTACTCGCCTGTAGAAGAGCTGCTTAGGAAGGTCATGGTTGTCACCACGCTTAAAGAGAAAATCCTCATGGAGGAACCTGGAAAGTTACTTTTTTGCTGCGTTCCGCCTTTGCAACTTCCTTACTTTATTAACCACCACCTCTACTTTGCCGAGTTACTAATTAAGAAGAGTCATTCAGTCCTATGAGATCTTTTCTTCAGTAATGAGCTGTAAAATAATAATTCCCACTGCGCGACTACCATCATTGAATTTCCTGTTCGCTGCGATGTAATTCTGCCTACAGACTTGTGACAAAACCAAAAAAATAATGATATATTATAACCTTGACAACCACAGATATAATCGTGAGCAGTATTAAATTTATTTTCATCGTTTTACGTGTTCATTTTGGAGAATGTGAACGGTTGTACTGAGTTTTACAATTATCTGAAATGTTTTTTGGCAGTTCAATGCTGTAATAAATCAAATCAAACGGATGTTGAGGAAAGAAAAATTGATTGATTAAAAAACGACGCACATCAGTGACAGTTGAATTCAATATGTTTAAGGAAATTTATTCGTGAATTCAATTAAATATTGTAAGAGGGATGCTTAAACGTCGCCTCATTACAATCGATTTGACATACATCTCACGGGTAGAAAATCGGAATAAAGTTTAACTGCCATCTTCCAGATTGGAATGATTTGTTATTGAAAGGATGAAAATAGATTATGATAAAAATCGCAGTTGTTTTATAGGTGTACAAAAGCTAAATAAAGAGCTGAAATGAACGAAAATGCGGCGAAGTGCGATGACGTGAAGTTGCAAAAAGAGTTCTTGACGTATGCACGAAAGTGTGAAGCTTAGCGAGGCGTAGCAATGAATGAAACGCAATTCTGTCATTACAGATCAAATGCATTGAGTGCTCGGTGGTGGCTCTAGTTGGCTGATTTGATGCGAGATGGTGTAAAATTGCAACGAAAAAGTCAGTTGTTATCGGTTATGTCGTTTGTTCATTTCATATCCTCTTGATCATCACTGATGTTCCAAATGGCTGCGTGCTGCTGTTACGTCATCGTACATTTACTGAAAACATGGCCGTTAATTCTGAGCTAGGTGGGGATTTTTATTTATGTATTTACTCGGATGGGCTCTATACTACTCAAAATGCTTTCCCTGCATTCATAACCATAAAACGAAACAGTTGTTCGAGTCAGCCAAACCCATGAAACATCAAAAATTTAACATGATTAATGCAATCGCAAATTTGGACATAATGGGAAATTTAACTACGGTTGGAACTGAACAAATCCAGTTTCTTATTTTAAATCATTTAATTAGCAGATAGCCAAAGGAAGAGAGTTTGTATTTGACGCCTGCGCTAAACGAAAACAGATTCTTTGCTAAGCGTGTTCCGGTAGAAAATGATTAGGTGATTTATCCTTGTCGATACAGCCTTATAAGAGTTGCACATCATTTTGCATGGGTGGACACCAACAATCAAAATTTTGCTGTCGATGGCGCTAAGTTGTTCGACCAAAGTAAAAGTATCGACGATAATTGCTGACCATATTCTTTAATTTCGGGCTTACAGCAGTTGAATTTTTCAGGATGAATAGAAATTAGTTTAACTTAATATAACTTAATAATTAATACAATTTATGATAATATTTTTCGATGTTCGTTAATCAAAGAGAACACTTGCAAATCTTCATCGCAATCTTTTATTCACAATAGGTAACGTTACAAGCATACTCTGAGTAATCTCATTCCAATTTTGTTCAAATATTCGCAGTGAATTACCGTGCCCATAACGAATTTTTAACCGTTCAAAGTGCTTGAAGAAAAACATCGTCTCCATTGATTCTAGCAATTCTTTCAGTTTGATATTAACAATTTCAAATATGAATTCTTTCAAATTTCAAACCTCCTAGAATAATTTCACATTATTTGTGTGACATTTCACTCTATTCATCATCACAATGATATAGTTAATTTACACAGGCCACAATTTCGTTCTACGAGATTGTATGCCATCTCGTGCGGAATGTGAGCTCTGAGTTCATAGCTCCTTTCGGGAATTGCCTAAGGACGCCGCTCTCTGAGAGATTTTCAGTAAAACTTATTACTGCGAGCAAATGACTACACGCGAAACGCGCATATTTCGTTGTCGATTCCGACCCAATTGATCGTTAATGTTCTACTGCACAATCAACGCATCGAACACGAAGATAATTAAATCATTTCATCTCGTCTACACTGCGTTATCCTTCCCAGAACTCTTCTGAATGAATCAGTGGTTGGAATTCAAAGCTTATTACATTTCATTGGTACGGTTGCAGTTCGGATGCTGGTTCGGTCGAATTCCTAACGGTGGCGATTTTTTTTGACGATTTTTTGGCTTTATTCATGTCAGCACTGTGTTCTCCAATTTTTTCTCAAAGTGAGGCTCATCTTCACTGCAGTCAATATTGAGGCTGATGCTCACACCGAGGCTGAAGTTGGTGCGTACGATTGCGGTGAAGTTGATGCTTATTGCTAGGCTTAGTCTGAGGTTAATGCTTCGACTAACCTGGCTTAGGATGAAGTTCATGCCAGGGCCGCAGTCGAATCTCGGATGGGGCTAATTGTAAGGATGATCGCCATGAGGAGTCCTCTGTCGAAATTAGTTTCCCCGCTTCGTTTACCACACAATATCATACTCCACTGCGAAGATTTTTATCTCATTTATATACATGATCACAAATCTGGCATCATTAAACGAAAGCCGAAAACTGCCAATGAGATCCGTGCAACACTGCTTATATCTTCTGGATTTTATTGCTTGTTTAAAGTTTGATGTTGTTCATTATGTTTGCCAGAAACAGTTGCAAACGAAGATTGTACAACTGAAATAGAGGGAAGCGTCACTTGTTCGCATTGCAGTGGCCACTTTCTGAAGACTCTTATTTTGGGGAATAGTTTCGTATTATTAATACTTGTACGATGTTGTACTCTGTTCATCATCGTGGCGCTAAAATTAACCAGTGTAAATTGGGAATGGATGCACAAAGCAATCAAATTCTCTAGCGGCTAGTCAGTGTTGTATCTCTTGCAACAGAAATAATTGCTGATGAGATGTGAAAGTGACAAGTCAACAACGATGCAGCAATTTATTGCTTTTTTTAATAATGATATAAGCATGGAATCATCCATCGCGTATGGAAAAACATAAACTTCGATGGTATATACAAAAGATAATTTATGCATAATGTTTACATTCATTACAAATTAAACAACGTTGAAAATGTAGGATAAAAATAAATTTCATCTAAAACTGATGATAATTACGACTAAAATGAAGTGTGCAAATCAGTGGTGAGCAATATTCTGCTACTAACGCAACTACCTTGTTTGGTATCGCATTAGCTCGCCACTTTTTTTATGTAGCGTAAATTTCACGTAGTGATAACTTCCGTTACAATAATTTTTTAGCGGCCTAAAGTAGCGATAGTTTGCGCTATTTTCTTTCGATAGCATTTTATCGAATTACTTTTTCAAAGTTCCGCTAGCTCGCCACTTTTCGTCTGCAAAGGAATGTTTATTTTCCCAACATCAAGACATTTAAAATACAGATTAGCACTCTAGCACTGACAAGTGCTAAATTCGACCTCATCGTACTCGTATTCGTTTCAACGGGTCGAAGTTGAATATTCAACAATACTTCAACTAATTACTATACGTGCATCATTAATCCGTCTAAGCTCACTAAGTTGTGTGGCTCACTAACTAGTAAGTTGAGAAATAGTGCAATGAAGTTCCCTTCATTTCTCGCTAGGAAGGAATATAATAAGTGCCAAACGGTTCAGTCTTTCAGACGAAGTGCGCAACGTATTGACATTCTTGAAACGGAGTGAGGTGGGCTTCAACCAGTTGACTGATTCATCTTTTAGCTTTGTTGTCGTGAATTGGTTATTTTCCCATTGCTAAACATTGTTTTCGTTATTGACTGGTGCTTGTTGTTGTTGAAATGATTGACTGCTGCTGAATGATTACATAAAAGTTTTCAACTGTTTAATGGTGTAATAAGGTTTTTCTCTGGACAGATCAGCGATGGGATTGCAAATTTTAGGGGAGGATTTGAAAGCAGCAATTAATAGATTAATTTTGCTGAGTAGTGTTTCAGCGAAAACTACTGCTATAATTTCCGATTAGCAGCACTTTTAGTGAAATATTTTGTTAATTTTTCGTCAGTGGCATTACTAGCGAAGTATTTTTAACAAACCAAAATATTTTTTTAGCGAATTAGCGATTGATGGCGTTACTTTTTTTAATAGCCCTCCCATCACTGCTGCGACTATTAAAACTTACAATTCTTACACGTAATGAAACTTACAATATATACAAAGTAGCGAAACTCTCATATTATGTACGATAGGTTATTTATCTATCAAACTTAATGTTTTGGTGGGAATATCACAAAATCATGGCAGTTGCTACATTACGAGCCGGGTGCAACGAATAGCCAGCTATGCAATTTATCCAAGTTTCCGTTCATCCAATACTTCCTTACGCCGTCCGTCGCTCTAGTAAAGAAATAATTCTGTACATGGGGAGGGTTTCCGGTTAGTCTGGAAAATTTTATTTTCGTTATACTTATATCCAACGCTTCTGTATCCTTGATGAAACAGTCGTTTCAAATTGGACTTGATCTTCTTACCTAGAAATATTTCTAGTGAATTATGATATCCCTGAATCAGACTATTCGTTTTCGTCATCATATTTCCGAAGTGGTTCCAAATATACTGACAAATGAACGGTTATAATTTTGTCCAAAAATCAATCCTGTTTATTGAGCCTGCCGTTAAAAATTTGCTCAAGCACAAGTGGAATGCTGTAATTCTTGGAATAAATAATATCAACTCAAGTGTATATGAGGTAAATTACGAATTAGCGGTTCGCTTCTTCCACAACACGTATTGTGCATGATAAGGTGCTTGTCAAAATACACTTTGCTCAGACGAAGCTGTCGGTAGGGCAGAGAAAGCGCGGTGTTGCTATCCATTGATACTCATC